GGGCGCTGGTCGGCGAGCGCCATTCCGTGCTCGCGGTCGGAGTAGCTGTCTAAGTAAATGACCACATAGGTGGGAGTAGAACGTGCCCTTGTCTAAGAAGAGATGGCTGCAGAGAGGGCATGTCGTGCTCGGTTTTGTCGGCTGGCATTGATTTCGTGTCCTATCTGAATTGCAGCTTCCTGTAATCATACTCCTCGCCGTATGTTTCCAAGCGGTCCCTCGGCTAGTGAAGCACTGGTAGCAATTGATGCACCCGTTGTTAGTCGTCAACAGAGCGGCTAAATTGTGTACGTGATGATTTCGAATGATATGGCTGCGCAGCGCCTTCTTGCTGGCGAACAGGAGTCCGCACTCCCCTAGACTATCCCTGAGAGGGCAATTCCACGGTTGGAGGTCCTGGAGGGCCAGATCTTCTCGGAGCTCATCGTTTGGGGCCTGTCCTGGTGGGGGAACTGCTACTGTCAGTTTAGCTGCTCTGACTTCTCGTACGTCTAAAAGGTGTAGTTGTTCTCTGACCTCGAGCGAGAACATCTTACCTGTCTCGACATCCTCCTCCCCGAAGATGGTTCTGGAGTTCTCCGGTACTTGGCAGGCTTTTCACCGCGTCCTCCTCGATGCGACGGGCCCAGGGGTTCGCATGCGTCGTCAGCCCGTTCGTGGTCTCGTCGGCATTCGTCTCGAATTCGAAGGGCCCGAGCAGGGCGGCGATGAGTTGGCGATGGTTGTCCAGCCGAGCCGAGCCGAGCCTTCAGACCACGGCTTCCTCCGCTGGTGGCAGGGTCTGCCAGTGGCGAAAAAACCTCCAGCGTAATCATGCTGCGCGCTGTGCCGCCCTCGTGGCGCGTGCTCGCCCTGCCTGCCATCGCCCTCCTCAGCAGTGCTCCAATTGCACTTTGAAGTATCTGGTACTCGTTGGGCGTCGGCAGGTAGCACTCGATGCGTGAGAGCCCCGTGTTGATGACCCTGCATATGAGGACGGCGCGCTTCCACCTGTACGGGATCTCGCGCTTGGTCCAGAACTTGCCACGCTCGTAGTAGCTCTCCTTCATGGCCTGGATGCGTTTCTGCAGTTCTGGGTAATATTGTTGTGTCGCTGTGACCTGTGGGCCCAGGTGCCTCGCCGCCGCCGCCGCCTTGCCAGGAAGTTTGCACTGCGGGTCCTGCTTGAGTAGTCGATGTGCCTGGCTGGCACCCGAGCCCTGGAAGTAAACAGTCGCATCCTGCTTGTCCTGGTTCTGTTTGAGGCCGATCTCTATGAGGCGCACGTTCAATGCTCGGTCGACGAGGGATGGGGCGTCTGCTTGCTTCCCGCATAAGATGAGCTTGCGCGTGTCGTCCGCGTACTTGGTCAAGCCAACGTAGACAGGGTGTTGAAATAGTTCGTTCGTGCCATAGGGCAGCTTGTCGTGTGTGATCTCCTCGTCGCAGTCCTTAGTCCAGCGCTCGATGCAGGGCGCGAAGCTGGCCACGAAGTTGCGTGCCATGCACGGGTCGCCGATGAGGCCGCCGCAATGTGGCTTGATGCACACGCCCTGCTCGTCGTCTCTGCAGTCTACGATGAAGGTTGCTCGGCGGTATCTCTGTTCGCCCAGATCCCACAGGTCGGTCGGCAGGATATTGCTGTTCGCCGCGTCCATGGTGATCCATTTGCAGCTGGCGAACGCGTTGGGCATATCCTTCATCGTGGACGCGTAGTTGTAGCCCGCAATTCGTGCTCTGTACTCGATGACCGCAATGGTGAGGATCGCGCCTTCTCTTCGTCTGCCCTTGATGAAGCGATAGTCCTGGTCGGTGTGGGTGCGCTTCTGCTATCGGCGTAGCGCCGCCGCGTAGTACGCCTTGCCGATCGGGCCCATGATGTGGTAGATCCTCCTGCCTGCAGGGCCCTTCTTCGTGTTCTTCTTGACTGCTGTCGCCGCGCTCTGATGATAGCGCACTGGTGCAACGTTGCTAATGCGTATCGCTGCCAGTGCCGCCTTGATAAGAGCTTGAAATAGACCGGCTCTCCGTCGCATGCTTGGTGTCCGAGTCCGCGTCGTTGGCGCGGTTGTCGGTCTTAGTCTGGCGGGCAGGGCAGTAGTCGCCATACTTCTGCTGGTGCCGCTGTAGGTGGTGCTGCTCGTCGTAGGCGCGCGCGTTTGAGGCACTTCGCGATCTCTTTGTAATCCTCCTCGATCTTCTCCTCTAAGTCGTTCTCGTAGTAGTCCTGTTCCTCCGCGTGGTGTGGAATGGCCCCCAGGTGTTGCGTGTCCTCCTCGGTCCCCTCCATGCTTCCAGAGCCTCCCGGAAGTTGCCAGAACTCTATCCACTCCTGTTTGGTTGGGTTTGCCGTCGTCGCCGTCCAGTAGTCCCTCTTGCGTGGCCCGTACCGTCCTCCTGCAATCAGACGGGAAGGTCGTCCGACCCGTGCTAGGTCGCGTTGTTCCCACGCCTCGTACATCTCCTCCACGCGAAGGTCGGCACGGCGTTGCTGCGCCTGTCGTCGTTGTAGTTGACAGGCCCGAGTGACGTCTCGAAGCTGCGTCTATATCCTGCGCATGCGCTGTTCCATCTCGGTGAGCGGCGTTGGTTCCTCTTCGGCGTATGGGTTTCCTTCTGTGCTTCCCTGGTCCTGGGTCGCCGTCGCGGGAGAGTCCCTGGATTCGAGCTCGTCCGTGCAAAACTGGGGTGGCGACGTTGCGGTCGCAGGCGTGCGATCAGCCCCTGTAGTTCCTGCGCGGAGGTCATGAAGTTCAGCTCTGGCTGCTCTGCGATCTCGGAGGGGTTGCATGCGTTCACGGCGTAGTTCCTCGTACTCGTCCGTCGGCGTCGGTGCCTTGCTGTAGAACCTCTGCGCCTTCTCGATGAGCATGGTGTTGATGTCCCAGAAGAGCTGGTCCACTCCTTTGCCTGCTGGGTCGTAATCTTGCATGGTCCGTTCCACCTGCTCGATAAACTCCCCTCTGTGAAGCCCGTGTCGCACAGCGTGGGCCAAGCTGTCCTTGTCCCACTGGGGTATCTGGGGTCGATGTTGTACTCGTTGTCGTAGTGGTAGGCGAAACGTCACGTGCACTGGAACGTGGTCCCGTCGTGCTCGGCAACGAATGTGTTGAAGGCGTGCTCCCATGTGAAGTAGAGGTCCTTGTGAAATCATCGTTGCCGTCATGCTCTGCGGTATCATGATATAGTCTATGCAGCTTACATGTTTCTCGCCGAAGTACGTGGGCCGCCAGCTGCCGATGGTATTCACTATGCTGAGTTGGTGGCGGTCCGCGTAATTCCGCGCTCTCTGCCCTGCGCCTCCTGGTAATCGTTCTGGTGATCGCCCTTCTCCCAATGCTGCTGTCTCTGGTCTGTCGCCCTTGCCCGTGATGCCCACTCCGTCGTTGAGGTCGCCTGCGGCGATGAGCATCGTATTGCGATGCTTCCTCTGGCTGATGTCCTCTATCCAAGCGAACAAGCGGCTGGTCGTTGCATAGTAGTCCTTGCGCGACGTCTTGCCCTTGGTGGGCTGCGGGGGGCAGTAGTAGCCGCTGATCAGTATTGTCTGGTCGTGGTGCTGCATTGTTATCGCGAGTCCTCTTCCGCTGAGTTCCTGTGGTGGTTCGTGTAGTTCTGTCACCTTGGCGCCCCGCAGTCGACCCTGCATAGCTATGATGATGCCCGTGCTGCGGTTGGTCTGGTCGCCGGGCCGCCATCCTGCTTCGTAAAAGCGGGTGTCGGCGCTGCGGTGCTGCGTGATGCTGGGGTCGCGTCTTCTGCGGGAGGTCCCAGTCAGCACGATTATGTCAAAATGTTGAGCCTCCTCGTATATCTCTGCCAGCCTGTCGGACTTTGCCGTGAGCGGGTTGAAGAGGAGCACTGCGAGAGACGCTGTGAGAGCCGCCATCATGCGGGCCGTCACCCCTTCTGTCCGCTCGGACTGAGGAATATCATGGTGGCGGTCTGGGCTGCCCTGACAATATCTTAGGCCCTGATGGCAGCTACGGAAGAGGAGGAGGAGGAGGAGGAACAGGAGGAGGAGGAGGAGGAGGAATTGGCGGGTGAGCAGGGGGATGAGCAGGAGGAAAAGGAAAAGGAGGTGACTCAAGCGCCGATCCGAAAATGAGGCTCACTTTGCAGCGGGAGCGCCCGTGTGAAACACAACTGCAATAGGATTGCAGAACAATCATAATGAACACTCCTTCTGTCAGATTGCGTATGTCGAATACATTGCGTGGAGAGAGAGAGAGAGAGAGAGAGAAGGCGATCTTTTGGATGGGGTCAGAAAAGAAAGCGAGGAGCGTAGTACTGATGATGTGTAATCCTCGAGGGGGGCGCCAGGACGATGGAGAGGAAGCCAGGCGGGAGGGCGAAACCGTAGAGGGGACGTGGAGCGGAATGAGGAGGGCGGGAGAGAGGAGGGAGCGTTGGGTGGGAGAGGGAAGGGAGAGCGAGGGAGGAAGGGAGAGAAGAAAGGGAACGGAGGAGGAACAAGGATAAAAGGGGACGGATGGGAAGAGATGTGACGATGTGTTGTGTACCAGACCTCGCAGGGTGGGACCCCCCAAATTCGGGCGTCGGTGCGGACCGTAAGCGCACCTCGTTTCCTCCGTCTTCGTAGTCGACGTCGTCGTCGTCGTCGTCGTCGTCGGCGTCGGCGTCGTCGTCGGCGTCGTGGTCGGGGCGCATTCTGATATGCTCGGGGCTTCGGTGACCCTCTCTACGCGGTGGCCACCACCATGCGATGACCACCACAAGGCGGTGGCAGAATCTGCGTTCCCGCCCATCCGCCCCCCCTTGAAGCAGGGGTGGTTACCCAGACCCCCGACGTCGTGATTTTTCCGCAACGCGGACCTCTGGAGGTCTCGACACATTCGCGGGGACCAGCTCTTCCTCCCGAATCGTGCCTTGGGGATCCCGAGGCCCACTGAGGGCCCCAGGGCCAAGCATGGCAGAAAACCTCCGGTCGTGATTGCTCTGCGATGCGAGGAGGCCTGGGTAGGCACCACGAGCAGGCCCTCGGCGCCCCAGGAGGCAGCCTGAGACAACCGCCTCGGGCTTGGCGCCGCGCTGCTGGCCGTCAGGTCCAGGGCCACCTCCGCGGCCGCCGCCGCGGCCGCTTGCCGCGCCCGGCGCCGCGTCGGCACGCTGCCGGCGCGCCGACCCAGCCCCCCGACGGGATGAAGTTCTGAATGCGCGGCCCCACGAAGGTCCCGACCCCTTCCCAAGGGGTAGCAAGACCTCGTATCGATTCTGGCTGTCGTCAAACTTGCGCTTGCTTCGGCCATGTTGTCTGGCGCCCCCTTTGATTCAACAGAACAGGTTCCGGCCCCCTCTTCACAGCTCGTCTTAAGCTGGCCACACCGTGCAGGTGACTGGCGGCGTGCTGGCCGCGCCGAGGCGAGAGCGCCGTTTGAACGGCCGTTCGGCAATGCAAACAAGAAAATTATGATGTAGGAGATCTGGGCTAGCTTCCCGGACGTTTCTTACAAGATACCGGTGCCATTTTCAGTTTTCAACGCTTGAGAGGCTAACGTGCTCAAGAGACTGGGTCAGCTTTCTGGCAAGTTGGTCAAGAAACGCTGGCCCAGCTTTTAGGGGGGAGGTTTCTAAAGTAGATGCTCGACTGTATATCTGATGGCCCTGGGCCCAACGACCCCCAGAGGCCGAGATCGAGGAGAGACGCCCAGATTGGAAAGAAACATCCTCAGAGATGTGAGGCCAAACCTTCGAAGTCATGATGTTGCCATGACGGTCGACCCCCAGAGTCTCGACACATCCTCCGGGACCGGCTTTTCATCTTTTATTTCACCGCAGACACCTGTCAACAACATCCCCCGCTCCGATTACGTGTCGAGTCCTCTTCCCCTCAAGGGGTCGATTACCGCTCCCATTGGAAAAGTCCATGCCCCGCGGGCTTTTCATCCTGAGTCGTTTCATGACGGCCCCTAGGGCCTAGGGGCCGTCATGAAACGACTCAGAACCCTAGGCCTGGTAAGGGCCCCCCAGAGGCCGACAATAGCAGAAACAACCTCCAGTCGCGATTGTTTCACAACTGGATCGAAGAGACATGCGGCCGCCGCCGGCCGCCCGAAAGGCCTGCTGCTCCAGCGCCGCACCCGTGGGGTTGGGGGCGGGCTCCGCCGCCGCGCTCGCGGCGGCGGCCCGGAGCTCGCTACCGCAGCTGCTGGCCGTAAGGTCCAGCAGGGGGCCGAGGTCCACGCCCAGGTCCACGCCTCCGCGGCGGGAGGGGGTTCGCGCTTTCGGCAGAGGCCTCCCAGATGGGGTTCGAGTAGATGGGGCCGAAGGATCGCGCCGCATCGCCAATGCAGCGGCGACGTGGAAGATGCAGCGGCGACGTCGGCGTGGAGAACATCGGGCTCCACATCGAGCCGCATCGCCGATGCATCGGTGGTGCGGCGCGATCCGTCGACACCATCCGCGCCCAGGTCCACGCATCCGCGGCGAGATGGGATGGCGCGCTTGAGCAGCAGATTTGAACGTGAAAATCGCCTGAAGGTTCGCTCGCTCTGCCAGTTCCAAAGGAATGGATTTATGCTGCGCCCAGAGACGCACCACCCTGGCTCGACAAGTGCAGCCGCAAGAAGAGGAGGAAGAAGAAGAAGAAGAAGAGGGAAGAACCCCTCAATTGCAGCTATGACTGAGGGGGCGGGCGCGGGGTGGGTGGCGGGGCGGTCGCGGGGTGAGTGGCGGGGTGGGTCGCGTGGTGGGTCGCGGCGTGGGTCGCGGGTGGGTCGCGCGGGGGTCACGGGGGGGGGGGGGGCGACAACCAACAGCAACAATCATCTGACCCTCACTCGCCATGCTTTGACGTGCCACATGCATCCATCATGCTGCCATCCCCTCTTGAGGGAACTGGATGACAACGGGGGGTGACATTCCTACACCCAAACAGATCTCCCGCCCAAGGAGGTCGAGCCAACACCTCTGGAGTAATACCGTTCGGTTCCCTCACTCTGATGTGAGCCGATATCAGGTCTCTTGCAAATGCAGGAATGAGCAGCCTCGTGTTGGCGGAAGGGCGGGCGGCACAACATTGGAATCACGCTCCCTCTTTTTTTTTTTCTCTCTACCTCTCTCTCTCTCTCTAGATGTATATATGTATAAAGATGTGCTGTCCCCCAACGCGCCGCCAAATCCAACCCGGCAGAAACTATTGGCCGTCCCTAGACGCCAGAATTTCCGTTCCGTGCACCAACGGTTCTACGCTGTGCTGACCACCGCCGCGATCACCCATGCGGGGAGTCAATCAGCATCGAATCGGAGAATTGGATCGGATCGGAACGTGCGTCGGATCAGGCTACGTCGGCACGGAGTCGAAATGGAATCGGATCGGCCGCGCCAGGATGCACAATAGCGCCATGCAAACGTCGGTCCGCATCGCATCGTCAGAATATCCAGAACATCCGATTCGAGTCGGAGCGAGCCGGCTCGAGTTGATGTCGAAATGGGCCCCCGCGGCATTCCCAACCTCTGGTCGAGCCGCGTTTCCACGCTTCTGTTGAGCAGTGACTGACAGTCCCGGCATTCCCATATGCATATCACGAAATGTCCCTAGAACAAACGAATTAGAAACAACAGTGTTCTTAAAACAGAGCATCGATTGATATCAAAACACGACTGTCTCAGTCAGACATGCTCTGTAAGAGCATTTCGTGCAAATCACGAGAGGTTCTTCGAAGATTACTTGATACAGGCCTGACAATCAAACCCCTCCTCCACTGCTTGAACTTCTGGGCGCGCCCAGTAGAAATCCATCTGCCCGGCGCGTGCCGGCACCCCAAAAAAATATGCGCCGGCGTCCCCGGGATGCGGAGGAAAATGGCAGGCGGGGGGAGGGAGGATGGACGGCGGGAGAGGGGAGAGGAAAGGGAGGGGCGGGAAGTATGAAGACGAGGGAGGGAGGGCGACGAAGAGGGGTGGGAATGACGAAGGGGTTGAAGACGAGGGAGAAGACGGGGGAGAGGACGAAGAAGAAAGGCGGCGAGCCCCGGAGGGGAATGAGATGGGGCGGGCCTTCTCAGAAGGCTCGGCAGGTTTCAACCCCTCTGAGACGTTTTCTAAGCGTTCCCCGACGACATAGAAAACTCCTCAGAAGGCGCGAGGGCTTCTCAGAACCCCCGCCGCCTTCTGAGAAGCCTGCCCCCTCTCACTTTCCCCCTGGGCTCGCCGCCGAGAAGAGGCGGAGTGGGAGAGGTGGGGGATACTGATAAGAGGGAAAGGCGGGGAGGCGAAGAAAACATCACAAACTACTATCCCACCAGGGCGACATCACTTCGCACAAAGAGGTCGGGTAACTCGTAGGTCCAGCCAAGGCGATGGCGCAGCATATAGCGCACGAGATGGGGTACGCTGCGCTCACCGCGACGGTTCTCAAATCTGTTGTGGAACCATCCTTGTTTGACAGGGTGAGTCATCCGCTCCTTTCCAACCTCTCTTCCTCCTTCTCCCTTGTGGTCCCCCCCTCCCCCTTCGGATGCCTAACCCTTCTCCTCCTTCTCCTTCTCCTCCTCTGCGTCGTCGTCGCTGCGATTCTGCCACTGCAAACACAATGCCGCTCGAGCTTATCCTGCCTTCGTGTGGCAACAGCTCCAAGGGTGCATCGGCGGCGTCCACCGCTGCTCTCCCCCCTGGCCGTCGTCGATATGATCCTCCCCCTCTTCCTCTAACTCCTCCTCCTCCTCCTCTAACTCCTCCTCGTCCTCACATCCACGGGCTGAATGCCCATTCCCCCGTCATCCCGCGTGCGGTCGCGCCCCCGAGGCAACCGGGCATGTACGGCGACGTCCCGTTGCGGAAGGCCTCTTGCAACCTGGCCTGACCGCGCCGCCGCGCTTTCGCGCGCGCACGCACTTTTCCCTCCGCCGGTGATGTGGCAATGACGGGCGATGTGACAGTCCCTTGCAAACCTGCGGCGAGGTCGCGAGGTCGGCGCTCGAGAGCAACAGCATGTCCAAGAGGGTGGGGAAGCATCAGCTGCTCCTCGATCGATATGTGTGTCACGGTCGCAACGCACGCTAGCGGCGCACACGCACACGCATACACACAAGACGCACACACGCACACACACACACACATATATATATATATATGTATACACTTATATATATACATACATATATATATATATGTATTAATAGTTCTGCGTCCGCGGGCCACTGAAGCACTTAAACAGCCAGTCTTCAGCACATTCCCCATCCAGCTGTGTCAGGGAGGTGCGAACAAAGATCGATGCCAGTCCGATCCCCGTCTCTTTGACACGCTACACCAGGGCATCAAAGATCCCGCAGTACATGATTATTATGCTAAGTGGGCCCCGAGGTAACGCACGGCCTATTTCCCCGCTGGGATCGCCTGAGGGGAGAGATTGCGCCAGCGGGCACAGCCCCGTCCGAGAAGCACAATCTGTCACTGCATCGCTCCCCACATAAACTGGGGTATTGCCATCGAAATCTGCAAAAAAACTACCTCCCTCCATACACGGGGAATTCGGCCAAAGCCTTGCAGCACCGCCCCCTAGCCAAAATAAGTCCCTGCACCACGGGAGGAGGCGAAATACGCCTTGGACATCTAAAACTTCTGCGCAACATGCAACATTCAAGCCATCGTGGATGTTGGAAGGCAGCGCTCATGCCAGTCTGGCGCCCCAGATATCTGACGTTGGAAGAGATGGGGTTGTTACCTGACAGCGAAGACTGATAAGTTTCTAGTAGGGTCAAAAGAGAGCACCATGCGATCCGGGGGAGGATGCTGGGGGTATGCCTGGGAACTCGTTTTAAGCAAACAGTAAAGCACTTCGTGGTCTCCGAGTTACCAGAACTCCATTCCTGGGCATGATTTTGAATGCCCGGAGCCAACTGTAGACCACTTCGTGTTCTTCGAGTTCCCAGAACTCCATTCCTGGGCATGATTTTGAATGCCCGGAGCCAACTGTAGGCCACTTCGTGGTCTTCGAGTTCCCAAAACTCCATTCCTGGGCATGATTTTCACTGCCCGGAGCCAACTGTAGGCCACTTCGTGGTCTTCGAGTTCCCAGAACTCCATTCCTGGGCATGATGCTGAATGCCCGGAGCCAACTGTAGGCCACTTCGTGTTCTTCGAGTT